CTGAAGCTGAAATGCCAGGTCAGGACCAATAACATTGCAAATTCTTCTTTGTATTTTGTCTAGAGTCTCAAGATATATAGCAATATTGCTATTGTTCACCCAATACTAGGCTAAAGTGTCACTCAAGGTAGAGGGTTATTGAATGAAATTGTTGTAAGAGTGTAAGTGAAGCAAGACATGCATATTATGAGGATATATATAATTGATAGCAGTTGACTCTAGAGTTGAGCAGTTTAAGATTGTGTTTATCAGGGGAGCATCTCCTTGGGAGTCTGTTCCACATAGTAACAATTCTTGAGAAGTTTTTTTTTCAAATTTGATACACTTATAGAATATAATTTATATACATAAATAATATATAGTTGGAAGTGTAGGCATGATGGAGTAATGGATAGAGGCTTGGATTGAATCTGTCTCAGTGGAACTTCTTCCTTACCAATGGAATATAAAGGGAATGAGAATGATGACCATAAGTTGACCTAGACATACTATAGTTGCAATGGTGCCTCTATGATCTTAATGTGTTACACAATTTGTGACGTGGTGACATGATAGTTATAGGGGAAGGATGTTCAATATTGGAGAGAGAAAGAGCGAATGTCAATATAGGAATCAACACTGCATCTTTAAACCAATATATATCTATGTATTTCATAAAGATAGGCATTGCTTTTTTTTCTTTTCTTTTTTTAAAGTACCAAAGTTAAAATGCATTTTAAAAAATGAAAAATCTTTCTTGAAGCTTTCATTTTAGTTTTAATTCTAAGCAAATAGTTTAACTTTAATATTCCCAATAAGTAAAATATTTTGGTGTATTTCAAAATGAATCTGAATTGGTTGGAATCTTTTTTTCTTTTTTCTTTTTTTTACTACTTATCAGTAAAAGCTGTGAATTTAAATAATTCTCTTCTATATCAGTCAGTCAGTTATGTGCCATGCATGATACATGCTTAAGTGTTCATATATCTTTCAATACATGACTAACGAGGAAGATTTTTTTTTCCCACAGTAGGTTGCCATTTCTTTCTGTAGTAGACCAGTTGCCATCCAAGGCTATAGAACATGGTCTGTCCTGCTATTTACCCATAGCTGGGGAGGATTCATACCTTTTCCAATGTTTTAGTACATAGGTGAATATAATGGATTCGACTGGATTTCAAACTTAGCTTTCTGATTAGTCAGTCTGAAGCACTATCCATTACTCCACCATGCCTCTTTTACTCCACCATGCCTCTCCTATATAATAAATACAAATGTCAACATGTCACTGCATCACAGTTTTTCAACTTTGCTCCTAGAGGCTGTAGCCCAACTTATCATAGCATTTTGGAATTAGGCCGAGTCCATGAATAAATTAAAAATATTCCTGGCCAGAAATGTGGAAATTTTGGATTCCCAAGCCACTGTGATTGTTTTTGGCAATTTTTAAATTTTTTTTTGTTTTTTAAATGTGATTTTTTTGCAACAAACTTTTTTGTGCACTAATGATTTTCATAACTTGGAAATAAATTTGGGAAAAATCAAAATTAATTGTGAAATCCAGTGGAAATCACTCATGAAATAAAAATAATTTTTTGTACGGATAGTAACGAGCTACATATATCAAATTGTCTTTAAATTAAATGGTATCAGAAGAATTATCATTGAACATTTAAAAGGTAAGCTTAAATATTAATGCAATACTTAAATGCAGTGATGAATTTTTATTTCTTCTGTAGTTTATCATTATATATCACATCTACTCTGCCCTACTTATAGTGATTAAGCCCCAATTAAGAGCCCTCTGCTGGAACTAGCTTAAATGTTGCCTGATATGGTGACTTTTAAGCTTGTTATTAAATCTTTCAAAAATAAAATAGTTTTCTGAAATTATTTGAGGAAAATTTACTGATTTAAAGTTTAATTAATCTAAATTGAAACAAATATTTCTTTTAGTTTAAAATATCACAGAAAAGCATGTTTTTACATGAGTGGGTTTTTTTTTTTTTCGTTTTTTTTTCCTGATGTACTGAGTGATTTATTGACAACCTAAGGTTTTGGAAATTCAAACAAGAGGGAGAAAACTGAGAGAAATTATTTGATGAATACAATGTGAACACCTTTTTTATATAATTACTAGCAGTATAGCCCGGCGTTGCCCGGGGATGTAACAGTAAGAGATAGATCAAGTATCGACCATTATAAAGACTGAAAAATAAAATTGACAAAGATTATTGTTTAAGGTTGACGGACACACATGTCTTAATTAGTTTTTTTTTTTTTGTTTTTGTTTTTTTTTTTTACGAATTGGTCAAACTCAAACAAAAACATTGTTTTCAATCGTTATGAGTCTACCGATTGAATAGAATTTTATTATAAACAATTGTCTTGTAAATGGAATTTTTAAAGCATTCTGAATGTAAAAAAAAAAAAAAAAAGTGAAGTTTTGTTGAAATCGGTTGAAAAATGAACACACACACACACATACAAACAACCTGGGTTTTATAAGTATAACTCGATATGAGTTGTCCCCCTTTCATTCTCGCGATGCCTCTTAATCGTGTTTTCAAATTGATTTTGTGCAAAAACAATTGTGTTTTTCCAATTTTTGGTGCTGTCAGAACCACCACAAGGCAATTTTACGTAGTCCTGTGAAGTTTTGTTGAAATCGGTTGAAAAATGTAGGAAATCCAATCCAATATATAAACGTGCAGACACACACACAACCTGGGTTTTATAATAAGTATGATTTTAAACTACCCTTAAATCTTAATCAAATATTTTAAACAATCTAATATTTTATTGACTTTTAAATACTTTGGTTTTATAGCCTTACTTATTAAATAGTAAAGGAGTAGTTGGAAAGAGATTTTTTTAAAAAAATTTTTACAAAGATTTTCTAAAAAAGAAATATTTCAAAAATAATTTAATTAGTTTATGAATAAGTTCTGAAACTTTCATTAAAACCCAATAAATAGCTGATATTTTTTTTTTTTTTTTTTTTGCAAGAATTTACAAATCAATGTTTTTCACCACATAATGGATTTGACTGGAATTTGAACTCAGCTCTCTGATTCCTCAATTCAAGCCTCTATCCATTACTCCACCATGCCTCCACTTCCAACTATATATTATCTCTATCTATAAAAGGCAGGATGTGTGTAACGAATGCACGGCTGCAATTTTCAATGGATTTGCACCAAAATTTACATGCACATGCTCCAAAATAGCGGGAAGGCCAAGACCGACTTTGCATTTCCCAACTCACATTGATAGTGGAAGTAATCGATTTTTTTCATGCTTCTACAGCAGTTTTCATGTAGTTTGCAGCCATTTTGTACTGGCCAGAGTGAGAGCCAATAGCTGGCTGCCACGAATAGGCAGGAAGATTCTATTGGCCAACAGCTGACTGACATGAATGTTAACTAGCATAAAAAAAATCGATAGCTGCATTCGTCACAAGTAGGAAAAATTTAAATCTGCATGGCACTTTACTCCAATTGGCTCATTCGCTTGCTTAAACTCAACGTTGATTCTGATTCCGCAGAACTGGGTTGGGTATGAAAAAGTATTTGTTGTTAACATTCTTTTTTCATTTGTTTTTTTTCCAGTTACAAGTCCTTTTTCTAAAGCTGATCATTTTGTGTTCATTTTGTTTAGTTCTTTTTTCATAACAAATTTAATGTTTAGTATAGAGCTTAGAAAAAATTTGCAGTGTAAGATAGGCAAGAAGTAAGGCATGTAGCAACATCAGCATGGCAAAGGGCACTCCTTTAAAGGCAAGGAAGGGCAAAAATATTTTAAGTCAAGTGATAGCGATTGCTGTATGAGTCGTACAATTTTTTAATCAAGCATCGGCAATGCTGAGCCATGCTGCTTAGTATATATATAAATTATATTCTATAAGTGTACCAAATTTGAAAAAAATCTGTATCAGTGATAGTCAGACCCTTGTTGATTTGACATGGAATAACTGATATATATTTTCAAGTTTTAATATTTCATACATTTGTTTATTTATTATTTTCATTATGCCTTTTTTTTTTTTATTTAACATTTCAAAACATTTTTTATTTTCTTCCCCTTTAATTTTTTTTTTTTTTATTTTTATAAAAGGGGGTAAAAGAAAAATATAACTAGCAGTTGTTAATCAGGTTGGAACCTGAAAAAAAAAATTTAGTTTCAAAATATTAATTTGAATCTAAAATACTATTTGAAAGTTTGAACCTAAAACAACCAAGTAAGATTCAGTAAAATCCAGTATAGATTAAACTTCCTGTCTAGACCCACATCATCAAACATGATTAATGTGTGTGCCAAAATTCTGCAAAATGTTCCCAAGTCTGCAAATTGTTTATTAGTAGAATCTCCTGATTACAGCACTACCATGCAGGGGGAGTATAACAGAGAATCAGGTCAGCCCAATAAAAGACTCCAAGTTAGTTGTATGCTGTGCTGTAAGCACAATGTGTTGTGTCCTCTTCCACAAGGGGATGTTGAGAGAAGACCTTCTATTTAGATTAAGTGGTGCTGACTATTTGCACATAAATTATACTGGGCAGGTATTAGCCAATAGTCTGTGTGGGTCTGGAACTAGGAGAACTATATAACACCAGTTTTTTTCTCAGTCAACAGAGGCCCTCTCAATGTGTGGACATGCGAAAACAAAACAAAACAAACACAGTTATGTTGATTCTTACAAAAAGGTCTGAAAATGTTGGAAAGATTACATAAAATTTACCAGACCATCTGGTTTATTTAATGAGGGCCTTTGTGACAATGCCTATTTAATCAAAGTCAATTGGACAATTGTCTTTATAAGCACACACACACACCTCACTTTTGGCAGTTTGTGCCATGCCCTTCCAGAGATCATTCTACTATCCGTTTTTGCCAAAATTCTAGCAGCTAAGTTGGCAACCCAACCACATCTTTTTTCTCTTCATTTGTCATACGGATAAGCAAGAAACTATTGTAACATGCAAGTTTTGACCGACATTTATTTTTGTTTCATTTGACAGGAAGTGAAACTTCACTATGTAGCAAATGGGGATGAATATAAACCTTTGATGCTGCTGCTTCATGGATTTCCAGAATGTTGGTACTCCTGGCGCCATCAGCTGAAAGAATTTAGGAAAAGTTACCGGTAAAACCTCATTTCTTTTTATATATGTTTTTTATTGTTGTTCACCCAATACATAACCCAAACATCACTCAAGGTAGAAAGTTACTAAATGGGGTTGTTGTAAAGGTGTACAGCGAGAGATCAAGTGGTGCTTACTATCAGGATATCTAGGCTAGATAACAGTAAATGCTTTTGAAATCCTGTCAAAAGTTGACCCCAGACTTGAAGAGGTTAATAGTGATCTGGGAAGCACACTCTTGGGAATCTGTTTTACAATGCAAAATTCCAATGGAAGAAGCCTCTGGGTGGAACTTCCTCCTTACAAATGGAATATGAAGGGAGTGAGGATGAGTCAACCTTGAATACATGTCATGGCAGGTCCGAGCTGTGAAGGTCAGAAATGGTGGAACCAAGGAATGGAGTTTCCCTGAGCATCTGGTAATGACCATAGATTTTCCATTCCGCTATCCATTTTTGCCAAAATTCTTTGATCTTAGTAGAGGTAAGATTATAGTGATCAGAGAAGCATACCCTTGGGAGTCCCTTCCATAATGCAACAGTTCTGGAGAAGAAGCTAAATGGAACCTCCTGTTTACCAATATGAAGAGAATGAGAATAATTTGACTCTTTGTATGTGGTATGGTAGGCCCTAGTTGAGAAGGTTTCATCTGGTGGAACTAAGGAATGTAGAGTATCAGAACAAGGAGCTAGCAATGTTCCGTTGGGGGGGCAGTTCATCACCCACAGGCCCATGTTGAGGTTGAAAAGGGAGAACTGGGCACCTCTAGCCCAGATGTGGCAATAATAAAGGTAGATGTGTGTCAGGAGGGGCTAGGTACTTTCTAGAGTGGTATAAAGAGTTTGGTATCAGTCCTTCTGAACTGGAATTGGTTACATTACATAAAACATTGGAAGGATTTGAGAAAATGAAAGGAGGATGAGGAGGAAAAAAAAGTAATGGTGAGAGGTAAGAAATCCAAAAGTAGAAGGAGGAGAGAGATAAACAGGAATGTTAGGAGCAAAAAAGCAAAAAAAAACCAGGAGGGGGAAGGAGACAGAAAAAGAGGAATAGTAGGAGGTAAGAAAGCAAAAGAAAACCCCGGAAGGAGAGAAATAGTAGGAGGTAAGAAAACTCAGAAGGAGAGGAAATAGATAAAGAGGAATAGTAGGAGGTAAGAAATCAAAAAAGGCAAAGGAGGAGAGAGATAAACAGGAATGTTAGGAGTAAGAAAGCAAAAGAAAACCAGGAGGGGGAAGGAGGCAGAAAAAGAGGAATAGCAGGAGATAAGAAAACAAAAGAAAACCCAGGAAGGGGAGGAAATAGATAAAGAGGTATAGTAGGAGGTAAGAAAACAAAAGAAAACCCCGGAAGGAGAGAAATAGTAGGAGGTAAGAAAACTCAGGAAGGAGAGGAAATGGATAAAGAGGAATAGTAGGAGGTAAGAAAGCAAAAGAAAACCCAGGAAGGGGAGGAAATAGATAAAGAGGAATAGTAGGAGGTAAGAAAGCAAAAGAAAACCCAGGAAGGAGAGGAAATAGATAAAGAGGAATAGTAGGAGATAAGAAAACAAAAGAAAACCCCGGAAGGAGAGAAATAGTAGGAGGTAAGAAAACTCAGGAAGGAGAGGAAATGGATAAAGAGGAATAGTAGGAGGTAAGAAAGCAAAAGAAAACCCAGGAAGGAGAGGAAATGTATAAAGAGGAATAGTAGGAGGTAAGAAAGCAAAAGAAAACCCAGGAAGGGGAGGAAATAGATAAAGAGGAATAGTAGGAGGTAAGAAAACAAAAGAAAAAAAACTGAAAAGAAAACCAAATGAAAGGAAAAATATACAAATATATAGATAAGTGGTAGGATGGAAAGAAAGGGAAGACATAAAGTGACCAACTTGGCATGTAAATCAAAAGATATTGTGTGAAAGATTGAAACGCTCAAAGAGAATGAAAGGTGTAAAAATTGTTATATATTAAAATTCTTTATGGAGAGAGCAAAAGAAAGATAAAAGTGAGGATGCAATAGAAAATAATTATACATCATTGATTTGCATATAGAATTAATCTGTATTTTATAACATGATAAAAATATGGACAGATAACATATCAAGTAGGAATGAAAAAATGAGAAGATACACTTTACACTGTATTGAAAAGGATAAGGGAAAGAATAAGAAGATACAAAGAGCAAAGGATGAAAGAAAAACAGTGGCATGATGACCTCAGTTGTACTGGATAGGATAAGGGAAAGAATGAGAAGATACAGGCAACTAGTGAGAGAAGCGCAAAGTCCTAAGATAATGGATGATCTTAGTTGTATTGGAAGGGATAAGGGAAAAAATAAGATACAGATAAATGGTGAGAGAATTGTAGATGTCTGAGGTAATGGATTATCTTACCTGACAATGTCTTTAGAATTTCCATGGATCCAATTAGTTGTATAGTAATATGCCCATAAATGTACCTTCTTTTTAAAATCCATAATTTATTTTTGTTCAGGCATTTAGAATTAGAAATAAAACAATATGAATTAAAAAATATTCAAGTATTTCCAAAATTTGATACATATTTTTCTGTTTTAGTAATGTTGCAGGAATTATTTTTATTCATTGTTTAAGGATTTTTTAATAATTCTTTTGTTATAATATCAAATGTCTTTTATTTGTAACCTGTCTTTTATTATTATGAATTTTATATATATTATGAATTATTATTAATACTCTTTTATTATGTATTTTATTCTTTAAAGCTTCAGCAGAAATTCTCAGTTGACATAATTGGTAATTCTCTGAAAATGTGACTTGTAGAATGAACACGCAAGGGAAAAAGATAAAATTCTTTTTATTTAAATTTTAGGAACAATAAGAGACTAATTTGAAAATAACATTAATGCGAAAATTAATTTTAAAAAAAGAAAAGTTTGAATATGGTAAAAATTACTGAAAATATTTTTTTTTTTTTTTTTTTTTTTTACAACAATGTACTCTCTGTCAGTCAAGCTTAGACTGACAGTGCACATTGTAGAGATTCACCAACTGGCCCCACTAACAGCAAGTAACACTCGCTTATCAAAAGGGGCCAATGCAAACTTGGGTATAAATATCTACATTTTGAAACTAATGTAACCTAGACAGAAGTCTATCTTTTCAACTCTACTGTAAGCCTAACAGATGTCTACCATTTTTACTCTAGTTTAAGCCAGACATATGTCTGCTTTTTGACACTAGTATAAGCTGGACCTATGTCTACCCTTTCTACTTTTTTATTATTTTCAGAGTTTGATTTCCTTATTTTTATTGGTTGAAGAATAATACTGGGTTTGTGCTGATTGGTCAGGAAATTTTATTTTGCTATTCTGATCCTATCTATTTTTACATAAGTTAATTTTTACTAGTTTACCACTTAATGAGATCAATATAAGTATTAATCACTTTGGGTGTACACTGTCAAGACTTCTCAAGTGCAATTACTTTAAAAGTCTTTAACATTTTCTTTTCATTTCAGGGTTGTGGCTATAGATCAAAGAGGATATTCTTTGTCAGACAAACCTAAAGGAAGAAGACATTACACAAAAGAAAAACTCAGTTCAGATGTGGCTGAAGTAATTGAAGCACTTGGTATGTAATTAACTACAAAACTTCCATTTAAAAAAAAAAATTTATGTACACTAGTAAAATAACTTCTAAAAAAAGATTTTAAAATGGACACCAGTAATGTTACATGAACCCTGGTTGAGAACCATTGAGCTAGATGAAGACACCATTGCCAATAATGTCTTACCATTATTTGGGAGGTGTTTATGAGAGGTATTTCTACTGCACCCTGTATGTAAAATGCGATCGCAACTTTGCTTGTCTGGTCATGTGCACAATAGAGATGGAATGACACCGAAAATCCTCACGTGCAACTAATTGCATGATGGTTCTGAGAAAATGGGAAGGCGCCAGTCAATCACCACCTGACTTAGCACCCTCAGACTTCCATTTCTTTGGTGCAATGAAAGAGGCACTGAGGGGTAAACGTTATGGTGGGGATGAAGAAGCGAGAACTGGTGTCAGGAATTGGCTATATCAGCAGCCAGCAGAGCTTTTCAAAGATGTGATACATGTCCTTATTCATTAGTTGGAACACTGCCATTGAAAGAGGTGGTGACTATGCTGAAAAGTAGGGATGTGAATCTGTGATGTATAGCTATATTTTGATGTATGACATGTTTGATTGTGTTCCTCATTTCTTATATTATAAAACAAATTGTATTACTTTTTGACTCGCTCTTTTTTGTGTGTGTATATATATATATATATATATATATATATATATATATGTGTTGTGTGTGTTTGGTTGAATAATCTAGACATACTATGTCTATTTTTATTTTAATCTTCTCAAATTCACAAATCCGTTTCTTAATGTTGTTATTAAACTGATTAAAAAAGACTTCATAGTTTTGGTTATTTCTTTTTATTTTCCCAATTACTTTCAATCTCATCTAAAATAAAAGAAATAGCTGAAACTATGTTGTCTTTCTTAATCAGTTTAACAACAACACTAAGAAACTGATCCGTGAATTTGAGGGCATTAAAATAGAAATAGACATAATGTCTAGATTATTCAACCAAACATGCTTCAATGAAAATATACTGCTATATATATATATATAATGTTGAAATTCCATTGAGAGGTGATTCCACTGGTAATCCAAATTTTTGTTTGTAAAAATTGTTATTAAATGTGAAATAGCATTGATTGGTGATGAGGTGTCAGATTTTTAATATATTAGCTATTGGTTTGTTTGTTTGTTTGTTTGTTTTGTTTTACAGCATATCAACCTCAATGGGTCATTGTTTTCACTCATTTTTTTTTTATTTCATTTCATAAAAATTGTCACAACTAGATCAAAAAGACTTAATCAATACAAAACAAAACAACAAGTCAAAACTTGAAGGACAAATTTAATCAGTCACCTGCAAGGATTGCCAGAAAGAATATATTGGAGGAACTTCAAGACGTTTAAACAAAAGACAATATGAACACATAAGAGACATTTTGAAAAACATGCAAAATGCATTGGTTGTTTACTGTAATGAAACTGACCACAATTTTGGCATAAAAAATGCTACTCTAATTAAAAGAGAAAATAATTCACTTAGACAAAAATGTCTAGAAAGTGCTTTAATCTCGCTTGGTCATTCACAGTAAATTTGCATCCCGGTTCTTACAACACATTGGCATCCTTGGTAGATTTCCTGTTATCGCAATCTGGGATATTTAATAACAAAGAATATAAATAAATTTGGCTAGATTAAAAAAAAAAAGTCTTAAAAATTCTTTCAAAAATTTTGAAGCTACCAGCATCTCTTATTCATGTGCATGTGTCGCCATAACAACATCAACAAACCCAGTCTGATGAAGTCTTAACAGATGAAATGCATCACAAGTTAACTTTTCTCCATTTTGTCTTACAATTTACACACTCTCTCTCTCTCTCTCTCTCTCTATATATATATATATATATATATATATATATATATATATATATATATATATATAAAATTATTTATTTGAAAATTATAACATATTTATGTTATAATTTTCGAATAAATAATTATATTCACTTACTCTGTATTGAGCACTCTTTTAAGAATAGTAATTGTTGGTTATTGGAATTTATTCTGTATACACCAATCCTATACTTGTGTGTATGTATATATATATATATATATATATATATATATATATATATATATATATATATATAGTAAATCTGACAGATTTTTTAATTTATTTGTTTAAACATTATTTTTTAAATGGATACTCATATTTGAGTAGATGTTCTGTTTTTATTTATTCATTAAACAGTATACTTATTTACATCTATGAGCCTGAATATTCAATATAGTATTATTTTATTATTAGTTTTATTTAATCTTGTTATTGTTGCATTTTAGATTAAGCATTTTCTGCTACCATGATTTTATTACAAGTTTGATTCCATCTTATTATTGTTGCTTTTTAGATGAAACATTTTCACTATTATTATTTTATTTCTAGTTTTTGTCCATCTTATAACTGTTGTTTTTTTTTGTTTTGTTTTTTCTTCTCTGTAGGTTACAATGAGTGTGTTCTGGTTGGACATGACTGGGGTGCTATCATAGCCTGGGTAACTGCTGAGCGTTTTCCAGAAAAAGTTTCCAATTTAATCATTATGAACTGCCCTCATCCAGTTGTCTTTCAAGAGCACCTGTTCACTAATTTCTCCCAAGTCAGAAAATCTTGGTAAATAGTTTTTCTTTGCTTTTTTGGTTGTCATCTCTTTAAAAAAAATATTTTCTTTTCTTCTGTTTTCAACCAGTTTTTTTTTCCCTTTCCACATTGTTTTCACTCATTTTTTTTTTTTATTTCATTTCATTTTTACTCATTTCCACCCAGCATTGTATTTGAACCACAACAAAGCATGAGTATGACTGATTTATTTTTTAGGGCTTATCAACCTTTTACAGGTTAATTAAAGCCAGAAAATATTATAGATCATAAGAATTTTTTAGGAGGTAATAATGATATTTACTGATACAAGTCTTACTAATTAACCCATAGTTGGGGGGAGAAGAGTTGACTTCATACCTTTCCCAAGTGTATTTGCATAAATGAACCAGACTGGAATTGGAATGCTTCTTTCAGACTAATATCATCATTATTTTGATATTTCCTTTCTGAAATGAGTAATTTTCAGTAAACTTTTTTATGTCATTATGTCAAATAATTGTTCTCATCTTGCTTGATATAGATGTTATTATTATGTCAGATAATTATTATTATAATTCAAATAATTATTATTATGTCAAATAATTGTTCTCATCTTGCTTGATATAGATGTTGTTATAGACACATCATTTTGGTCAAATAGCCTCTTGCCCTCATCAGGTGTTTCTTGTCAGGTGGTAACAATAACTGGTGTCATAGCGACAAAATAACACAATAATTAACATATATGTCATATCAGTTCAAAAAATGGACACCTGATAATGTCCAGAGGGTACTTGGTCAAAACATTGTAATAATAACATTTATATTGACCAAGATAAGAACAGTAGTTTGAAATAATAAAAAGTATATAGCATCCTCATCTTTGTTGTTTTTATCACAGTCTTGCAGCAACCAAGATTTTGAAAGCTGATTTTCAAGGTAGGCAAACTTTCAGCCTCTGGAAGATTGTCTTGTATCCTGACTATTTCTACAAGAAAAATGAGAAGAAAAAAACTTTTTGTTTTCACCATTAGCCCCTTATGAGATTGCCAAAAAAAGGCTAGAGTTTTGATTCAGGTTAAGGGAATCAAGATGAGATTTTCTCTTTGTTACCTCAACTTCATGAAAATTCACTTAGTTTTAACTGAGTAACCCCACAGGAGAGTGTCTGTTTATACATGTGCAGTAATGTCTCATCTGATTGAGTATCAAGTTATATGAAGACTGCACAACTGGTTCTTAAGATTTTGTAATTTGTTAATGATGTTTATTTTCTCCCTATTTAATTTTTTTTTTTTTTTTATATTGAAATTCTTTTATTTAAAAGGTACATTTTTTACTTCCAAATTCCGTATCTTCCTGAATATGTTCTTGCCAAGAATGACTTCGAAGCCTTGAGTAACATGTTTACAAGCAAAGCCGGGGTGAGGAAAGAAAACATGGATCCAGAAGATATTGAAATATATAAATACGTCTTTGCACAAAAAGGTAACATTTTATTCATAATCCATTCCCATTAGCTTCCCTACTGCAAAAAAAAAAAATGCTTAAAATATAATTTTTTCAGACAAAATCTGTAAAAGCATGTTTCATGCTGTCTTGCTCTTTTATGTGTCATGTCTCTTCAGGACATAGCCAATCACAGCTCTCCACAACTTACCTATCATTTGTAGCCATTAGTAATATTTATCTTTTTACTATTTATCAACCGTTTGCAGGTTATTTAAAGCCAGAAAATATTTTTTAGTTAGTAAGAATTTTTTATTTTTTGAGATTTAATGACACAGGTCTTACTAATTAACCCATAGCTGGGGGTAGAAGAGGTAAAAATCATACGTTTCCCAAGGGTTTTTGCACGTAAGTGAATATAACAAATCAAACTGGAATTGAAACCCAGCTCTCTGATTAACAATTCTGAGCCATTATCCATTACACCACCCACACATCCAAGCTTACAGCACCTAGTATTCCCAAGTGGTCACCCATCTAGATACTGATGAGGCTCAATGTTGCTTAACTTTGGTGATCATAAGCCAAGTCATGGTTAAAGTTATTTACTACCTTAATCCTTGTTAATGTTATCTAATATCTAAAACATGATTACATGTAATCCTTTAGTCATGGTTAATGCCATTTAATATTTAAATCTTGCTTAAATCCTTGTAATAATTATATTGTGGTTTAAATCATGTCAGACTTTAATAATTCATCAGCGACAAAGCTGCATAGACACTTTCAAACTCCATCTACACCAGAAAGTGTGGCTTGGGTAGCCTCAGCCCAGATATGGCACTCCGTCCTGGGTAAGACGATAAATTATGTCCAACAGCAAGGCCTCTGATCAGAAGGTTTGAGGAGTGTGGAATCACCTCTTAATTGCTGGTGTTCCCAGGTCCACCCTGACCTGGGGTGGTAGCACCTGTTAGGGTCCCAGCTATGGGCAAATAGTTGACTCCACAACTTGACTCGGGACACTATGAAAGTGTAAAAATAGATTTTAATACCAGAAATACTTTTTAAAAAATTAGTATCAGCAATAAATATTTGAAAAAAGAAAATATTACCAGAAATAAAAATCTTGTCAGCATTAAATAACCCATTGAGGTTAATATGCACAAAACAAAACAAACCAACCTATACATTTCTGAAAAAATTACCAGCTATACATTTTTGGAAAAAAAAAAAAGAAAATTTTGTCGGCATTAACCCATTGTGGTTGATATGCCATAAAACAAAACAAACCAAATCGAACCAGATATGGCACTGGTACTCCATCTTTGGTCTGATAGAACAACAAAAATTTTAAGAAAAATAAGAACCAAAAAATACTTGCACTTAGAATGAGAAAGGGACATTTTGAATTTCTTGGACATATAACGAAGAAAGAGGGTTTGAAAAATTTGAAGGCAGTAGTGGCAGACAGAAACAGAAAATAGCTGGGGTGGGGGAAATAGGTAGATTTATACTTTTCCCAATGGTATTTGTGTGTAAGTGAATATAACAAACCCAACTGGAATTGGAACTTGGCACTCCAATTAATAATTCTGAGCCATTATTCATTACACGACCCACACACCCAAGCTTATAGCTTCTGGTATTTCCCTGTACAGTAACAAGGATTAAGACACTAAATAACTTTAAAAATGCTTGGCTTACAATCACCAAAGTCAAGCAACATCAAGCCTGGCCTGTACCTAGTTGGGTGACCACTGGAGAATAGCAGGTGCTATTTTAGATATTACATATCTAAAACATGGTTACAGCCATATAATCCTTAATCCATGGTTAATACCATTTAATATTTAAATCCTGCTTAAATGCTTGTAATAATTATATCGGGATTGACATTGCTTAACTTCAGTTAATCATATGGGAACTAGTTTTTTCAATGTGATGTGGTTATAAGTCCAGAAATCTTTTAAATGAATTCAATATTTTCAAAAGAAATTAATTTCAACACATGGAGAAATTTTCCATATATATATATATATATATATATATATATATATATATATATATAGCATAATTCAAGAAGTGAAAAAAAAAAACATTATTGGCTTTGCCATTAGAAAATGTGGCTAGATTTGAAATTTAGTAGTTGGTTTGCCTACAGAAATAAAGGCGACATGACACATTCTGTACCAACTGCAATCTAGAGCAAAAAGAGAAAGTGAAGTACATGTCCTTCCTTATATTGTCCTGAACAGAACAATACCTAGTGAGTGTTCTGGTAGATAAGGTGGGATAATCCCCGCATGCTCACTAAATTTTTAGTAACAGGCTTGTTGCTAAGGAGTTCTGGAAGCCTCTGCTCCCTAGAAAATTTTTTGCTCCCCAACCTGTGAAAGGGATGAGAACTAATTTTAGGGCACAAATTTTTATTTGTGGCCACCCTAACTTAGACACACCCCAATCAAAATACTCTAGCTGATATAATAATAAGAAATTATGCTAGATGAAAAATTAAATTCATTAATCTTTTTATCTTCTTTTACTTAATTTTCATTTATTTTTTCACTTTTAGGTGCCCTGACAGGTGCTATTAATTATTACCGGGCATCTGTTTATGAGAAGCCCCTTCAGCCACCCAAGGATTCCCTCAAAATGCCTGTCTTAATCATCTGGGGTAGCAAAGACATTTATCTGGAAAAGGAGATGGCAGATGCTTGTGGAAAGTTTGTCAGCAACCTCAGTGTTAAATATGTGGACAACGCAACTCATTTTGTACAACTTGATCAACCTGATGTGGTTAACAATCTCATGTGGCAATTCTTGAAGTAAAAAGAAATAAAAATTTTATTCATCAAAATGACAAACATTAAAGTGATATAATTATATGTAAGATTTTGACACAAATCATGAGAGGTTATTATCAGTAGATATGTTGTTGTAAAGGCTCCATAAAAATCCCAGTAAATTCCACCCTCAATAAACTGAATTGAAACATTTTTTTTTATTTTATTTTATTTTTTTTTTAAATAATTCTGGTACTATTTAAACTGGTGGGTTCGTTTGTGAAAATTAAGGAGGAATTTTTTTAAAATAATTTTTGTAGATTAATATTTGTTAGAATGTTTTCAAGCCATGACACTTGTTAAAATTGAAAATCTTTTTTTTTTTTTTTTTTTTTTTATCGCTTTAGAAGTGGGGTACTATTCATAATCTAAATACAGTATCAAATCAATTCCTGACTTCTTAAAGAGTTGTCTATACTTTGTTTCTATTTACAAATGCCAAGTTCAAACTGTGCTTATGTCATCGATAAGTGTGTACTTTACAAATTGAAAAAAATGAAATCAGTATTTCAACCTCCTATATGACAGTGAATGCTGGACAATCTCCTTATGGATGAAGAAGAAATGAAAAGCAACAAAGATGTGATTCTACTGACAAATGTCAATAATAAATTGGATCTAGCAATGACAATAATATTAGAGATAAAGGCCAAACTTTTCTTACATATATCAGATTGAAATATGCAGTTAGTGAAAGTAAACAAAAATAAAGAATACATGATGTTAATGTTGAACTTTTTTGTTTTGATTTATTTAGACATTAAATTATATCACATAGCATCCTCCATAATTTACCTTGACTTTTCAGTTAACCTGATGAATATTTATGAGCGTTTATTGAATTTATAAATTTCCAAAACTAACATTTTTACTTTTGTATCAGTCTATACACTGTGCCATGTGTCCTTGAAGATAAAGGTGTTGGTTATATCCAGTGACAGGACCCAAAGCGTGCGAGTTCAATACCCAGTTAAGGCAGTGGAGAACTTGTAGAGGTGAATTAACAGGAGATAACTGATAACTGACATCCATTAAACATGGCACGTGGAACTAGAACAGTCTACCCCAGTGAGCGAAATAAAGGGTTCAGTTCGACATTCCAACCTGAAGAAGGCCAGAGCGTACAATGGTCGAAACATTGTAATAAATATGGCGAAAAAGATGAGAACAATAGTCCAAATAATGTAAATAGTGATTTTTACTTTTGTTTATGAATACTTGTTGCAAAATAAAATGTTTGCCTTGATAAAGTCCATTAGAAAGTGAAACGTGCAAAAAACTTTGGTTTAACTTAATTTTACTGAATCTTGGCTAGTTAATCCTGGATCTGATGCTTCTTGGAACCATTCTTAAATTCATTTTATTGTTTAAAACAATTCTTAACCAGTTTCACTTTTTATTCTCAACCATTCAACCGATTCACCTGAAAATTTGAATAATTATTATCCGATTAGCTGTCCATCCAACTCGCCATCCTGTAAATTTTCTGTTACAAGAACGCTTAAAATAAGAAAGTGACATTTAAAATTTCTGGTACACATTATGAGGAAAGAGAACTTGAAAAATTTATCACTCACAAGACATACAGAAGTGATCTAATGAGGTTGAAGGAATTTTGAGAAAAAAGATGGATAATCTTCAAAGGATATGGCATATAAAAGAATGGGATGAAAATTTTGGTGTCTAATTTTTATGAAAGATTTTGGAATTTTGGCACTGTAAGGACATAAGAGGAAGTAACTGTAGATTATGAGGATATGTAGGATAGATAACAGTTGAACCAAGACTTGAAAAGGTTAAGATTGTAATGAGAGAGTATTCTCTAGGGAGTCTGCTTCACAAAATAGCAGTTCTTGGAAGGAGCTTTCTAAAAGAAACATCTTTCTAACCCATGGAAACCGGAAGGGAATGGAGAATGATTTAAACCTGCATATGTGACATGGCAAATTTTAGCTATAACTGAACTGGTGAACTAAGGAATGTAGTTTGTCTGAAAATTTATGACATTGAATGCTGGACAATTTAGTCAGGGACGTAGAAGCGATGTAGATGTGGTTTTACAGACACTTGTTCAGAATGCTACCGGCCCCCCCCCCCAACCTACAACCAGCAATGAGTAAGTTCTAAAGAAGAGTTGAACTAAAAGGACACTTATACTTAAAATCAGAAAGCAACATTTGATTGTTTTTTTTATGGATTATCAACCCTAGGATTATATAAAGCTGGAGCAATTTTTATTGTAATAATTCTTTTGTTTTTTTGCGAGTGAATATTGCATGACTTTTTTTTCCAGACACATATCCTACTATTTAACCCATAACTGAGGGAGAAAGTATTAAATGGATTCATAGCTTTCCCAAGGATATTTGTAAAAATACAGATCAATTAATAAAAACAGCCAGGTCTGTAACCAGAGAGTCAGTCGAGGTTTCAACCAAGAACTTCTTCATCTTTTTGTCTACAATAGTTGCTGGTTCTGTTCTACTCGTAAATAATAGGGTAAAGGTTTCTGGGGTCTAATTCTTGTAGATTACCATTCTGTAGACCTTCATTAGGCCACAACACTTGTCAGAATCAAAAAAAAATTTTTTTTCCGGTGAGTGTACAGTATGAATACTTTTAAATAAATAACCAACAGATATATACATTTTTAATTAAAGGACAAAAATTTACATAAATAAAGAGTGTGTCCATTTATTTTTCGTTTAAGATAATTATTAACCTCAAATGTTTTTTGCAAGTGTTTCTGAAAAAATACTATAGTGAAAATAATTTTCAGAAAATGTTTTAAAAAATGGTTACAAAATTCATAAAATTAAAAAAATATGCAGCTCAATTTAAAACTTGACATTTGTAAATAACAGCAAAGTGTGTTTGTAAAAGTCAAATATTGATTTGACACTCTAAAGTTATTATAAACAGCACCCCCTTTTCTGAACTGATAAAAAAAATATGGTCTAAGGAAAGTCTAATGGATGTTAATATACAACCATCCCAAAGGTCATTGGTGGAAGTAATCCAGTAACTTGAACCAAGGAATGGTAAGTTCAATGCATTGCAACAGCAGAGGTGAACAAAAAAATAAACTTGGAGAGTTGAGTTACTAAAGGGAAATAGCTGAGATTGACATATCCAGAAGAGGCATGACATGTGGAACGAGAACAATCTACCTGGTGGATGAAATAAAGGAGTTCGGTTCAAACTTCCAACGTATATCACCGGAAGAAGGCTGGAGTGTACAATGACCAAAACGTGGGGAATGTGACAATGATGACAAAGGTTGAAACAATGTAAATAGTGTAAAGTTACAATACTTCATCTCATAAAATATAGACTGTGAATATGACAATAAAGATGAGGACAAGGTCCAAACAATGTAAAGTTTAAACCTCAATGTAAAATAGACTGTGAATATGACAATAAAGAAGGACAACAGTTTAAAAATGTAAATCAAGGTAAGAAAAAAAGTTTTCCGTTTTTCGATTAGTCATTGAATGAAGTTGAAATATACACAAAATGCGTGTAGCAATTGTTTTCAAATTCGGACAGCTGGAAGTAGGAACATCAGACATTATAAAAAACACATGCCCCGTGCCTGGCCATCAGTTATAAGCTGGACAGCTGTGAAAAGGATGGAAGTGTCTAGAGATCTCGTTCGGGGATGTTTGCTTTACGACTTCAAAGTGGGCTTATCAGCAGCTGCATCATGTCGCCGCATATGGCAAGCGTTTGGGGATAGTGCTGTGGATGAACGTACTGCAAGGTGTTGGTTTCGAAAATTCAAGTCTAGAGATTTGTGATTCCATGATGAGCCTCGCAGTGGACAACCACAGGTCCGGAAGGCGGCCATTGAAGAGGACAGTAGTCTAACGTGTGGTGAACTTGCAAGACAGTTCAATGTTTCCGATGAAACAGACTTCACCTGCTCTGGCCTAGGTAAGACGTACAAACTGAGCAAGTGGGTTCTGCAAATGCTGTTGGAGGTCCACAAGGGACGATTGGCAGCCTGCGTATCACTGCTTTCACACCACCGAACCGCATCCTTACTCAATCGAGTGCTTACCAGTGATGAAAAGTGGGTTCTGTACGAAACTCCCAAGTGTTCCAGACATTGTTTGTCTCCTCAGGATGCTGTCCTTCACACCGCACGACCGCCTAGGCACCCATGCAAGATTATGCTTTGTGTCTGGTGGTTCATTATGAACTGCTACCAACGGGCCAAACGGTCACTGGAGACCTATACTCACAGCAATTGAAACGTATGCAACAGGTATTGCGCCAGAAGGAGCCAGCACTGGTGAATCGCAACGGTGTGCTTTTCCTCCATGACAATGCCAGGCCGCATGTTGCGTGAGTGGTCAGGGATACCATACAGCAACTTGGGTGGGAGACTTTGTGCCATCCACCTTATTCACCTGACCTTGCGCCATCCGATTACCACCTCTTCCACTCCCTGGATAATCATCATCGTGGGAAATCCTTCACCAATGAAGCAGACTTGTGCAAAGCCCTCACGGACTTTTTTTGCGTCAACCTTGATAAGTGTAAATAATTATTTTATTATAATAAAACACAATGACTTACATTTTTGAGGATCATGTTCAGAGTTGGTGAATACTACCTTCAAACCCCTCGACTAGGGTAGGTGGGTGATTGGGGGCCCTGGATAGTGCTTCGTGACCTTCTCTACTTTATCAACATGTGTGTTTTTTCTACATACATTTATATATGTTGCAAATTTAACTAAACACAACTGATTATTAAAGAATGAAATCTTTTTACAGACTTTGACGTCATTATGAAGCCTTTTTTTTTCTCCTCCAAATCTGTGCATTTTTTTTTCACTTATGCTAAATCTCAAAAAGACACAATATATAATTCATATTTTTATTCATTATGTTGAATTTTTTTTTTAAATTATTCAACTTTTTAACAAGAAAAATCTCAAGTTGATGCTAAGAATTGTGGCAAAATATTGTTGA